TCAGCTTGTACATATAACTTTGCGAAGCTAACCGCAGAACAAACGTGCAGTGCATTGATAAACCTCTACTTCAGTTTCAAATGTTGTTCAGCTCTTTGATAGGAACTAAGTTTGAGATCAGTACTTGTTCCGAACAAATAAACGTAATCTTTCAGCATCAAGACATTTTGTCCATTTTTATACATTCTGGCTACTCGTTTCTTTTTTTCGTTTTTTTCCCCCATCGTTATAAAGATAAAGGATGCTTTCCACAAACGTCACGATATTCTTAAACAGCCTCTTGCTAATTTGCATTTTGCGCTTATCAAAGAGACACGTATAATCCAAAAATAGCTCTAGTACTATTATACAACTTGACAGTTATAATGCGCAAACACACCAACTTTTCAATTGAAATATAAAGGAACAATAGAACTCAGACAAACCGGTAACTTTTTGCATAATAACTATTCCGTATTGGTAGCCATACTCATAACAGTTTAGTCTACTTTACTTTCTCAATAAGCATATTGGACCACCTTTTCAAAACAAGTTTATTTATTAATGGCCTAAACCAAAACATTTCACTTTCGCTCCAGATTTACTCGCTCAGCGAAACAGTGTCGTTCTTTTAGCTTTAATATCTTCATCACGATCTCATGGGCCGTCGGAATTGAGGCTCGCAACCAGGGAGGAAGAGACAGTCTCCAACCTTTCCTGTATGTATAGGTAACATGAAATGACCCTGAAAATTACTTGGTGAAAATCGTGAATATCACTCATTCCTCTTAACCGATTAATGTCGCTGGATACTGTTAACGTGGAAGGAAGAAGGGTTACTTAATTCATTAGTAGAGAGGCTTTTTTGCATCATGATCATATAATGAAGTATTTATAAAAAAAATTATTGGATGAGGATTTTGTGATAACCAGAATAATCAAGGTCGAGGCAAGGTAAATTTAGTTAGAATCTCTATAATTCCTTTGTAAGATTGGGAGTAGAACAAACAACGCTCATCAAATAATAAAATGAAAATTTAAGAAATCACTCTTTATGCCTCTCCAACTTCTTAAGACCGTAATCTTGGTGTAATCTTGGAGTGAAATTTGCTTGCTGATAGTATGTTCTTCAACAATATATATTTTACCGCTTTTATTTGACTACTTGATTTATCTCTTTATCTATTCTGTATAAATTTATATTCATCGACTCATTTTTTGTCGCAACCATGTCGATCCTAGGTCTCATAAAATATTATTTGTATGTATGAAATGTCTGAATACTATGTAGTCGCTCCGTTCACATTGAGAAGCTCTATCATATTTATATTTTTTTGATAGAATATTGCAAAAAAAATTTTTCCGTGTTGTTATCTGTTATATTGCATTTTGTCCATTACTACTCTTTAAATTTGCTTTTCATGTGCTGCACCGGGATAAGTTTAAACTTTCGGCGGGTCCATGATATATATCGATCTTTTATCAAAATATACGTCAGATCTATTAACAATTATTGTTTACATAAATTATACACATGCATATAGATAAGTTGCCTGACCGAAAACACAAAACCACAAGGTCCAGTGTTGTTGTTATTTTGCAATCAGGATTTCGGAATTTATTTCGTCTCCTAAATAGAGTTTTATTCAATATTGAAAATGTACTTCCGTTATATTTTTTTACACGAGCTACACGAGCATTGGAAACCGAAGAGGTCATGGCTAATGTCGAAAAATATCTCGCAAAATAAAAACTGTTTTGTCTTCTAACATGATTTGTATTCATCTATTCATTTTCTATTTATTTCTTTGCCAAAGTACGATAAAAATTTACAAGGAAGCATAATGAGCTAGGTTAAATAAAATCTATGGAGAGGAAACCTAAATGAAACCATGAGGCTTTCTCCAAACGATTACAGAAGAATAGGAATAAAAGGCATTATGAGCGATATTAGATTTTACAAGAGAAAGAGAAAAGAGGAAACAATTCGACATTATTCTCCCTAGGGTCATGTTATATTGTTAACATTTAACGGCTCTTTTTTCTCCCCTTGCACACAAGCTTTCGCCAGCCACGAATTGATATCACAGAGTTCATTATAAGAGGAAATTCAGCCAATCATCTTTGACAGCATTTGGCACTCTCTCCACCGCAACATGACAAAGATGGCTCTGTGTCTTAAGAAGAAATTTGTTGCTCTTGTTACATGCATCCTGTTAACACTACCAGGTGGTAAGTCGATACAGACTCAATACTATGAACTTAAATGTAATTCTTTGTTGGAAGGTAGGCGCAACTAAAGATATGTCAGATATAAAATTTTTCATGTGGTTAAAATGTCGAATCTGTATCAGCAGGATTTGCCAATACATCATCACAATCTGCAAGTGACATTTCATCAATGAACCTTATGACGCCATCCCCATCTGCAAGTGACATTTCATCGATGAATCCTATGACGCCATCCCCATCTGTAAGTGACATGTCATCAATGAATCCTATGTCGCCATCCCCATCAGCA